TGGGATTAACAAAATCTGTCCTATAGTGGAACTTCATTAGCACACCTAGCTCTATCATTCCTAGTGGTTTCATCAAATTAGGTTGGATAGAAAAAATTCAGGACTCAAAGGGTTAAACTTCTGCGTGAGAAGAAACTGGCTTATAGTTTAGTTAGAAACTTGTATTTTATGAATAATAGTGGAAACGATAGTTTTTCTGCTACTTAAAAAGTTTCAGGTTTTTGTGTTGAAATCAAGCCAAGAACAGTTCCTGATGATATTGCAAGAGATGTTTTCGCGATAGCACTCGAAGGATTTTTCAATCAATCCTGTACCTTGCCCCTCCCCTCCCCCTCGACGGGGATGATAAATAAAATCTTTTAACCAGTGCCGGAATGGGATTACAGATATCGACCAGAAAGTAGATTAACAGCTGTCACCAAATAAACTGTTAGAACACTATCAGGAGTTACATATGACTTGATTTCAATGAGTAGACTAAGCATATAACAACAAGTACTTTTGTTTTAAAATAAATATAATGAAATCTATCAGGACATATTTTGAGTCAAATGCTGTTTTCTCATGAACGCTGTATTTTTAAAAGCTGAAACTTTCACCATAGTTGTAGCGCACAGTCTTTTAAATATGATAAAGATACCCGATGTATCTCTTATAGTTGCTGAGAAATCAAAGTAACAACATCACAAATCTGTCGAGACTTTTAGTGGAACCATAGCCACATGATCCTCTTGTTTTTGCTTTTCCCTTTGATCTAAAGATTTTTGACGGAAATACTTTTTACCAAAAGACTTCTCGCCCTTTAATCTATCGAATGTAAAAATGGTGTGGACGTGGGTGTGTTGTTCGACACCCATCCCCATCCACTACCCATACGATTTCACGGTTTCCCCGTATCCCAAAGCTACTGTATTTTTTTGTCACATTACAGTCAGATCAACAGAGAAAACTTTAAATATCTTTCATGAATGTTTTTCACGGCTTCATTATTGGAAGAAAGATATTTTCAATGGAATAAATATTTAAGACCTACATATACAACATACATATACATATATTTATGTATATATGGATATTTAGATCGTCATTTTTTGGATATATCTAATAGTATTTGCAGAATGTTAATGTTACCTTAAAATTTGGTTCTTTTAAATATAGCTTATACATATTTTTGTTTAGAGATCATGTCTACAGCAGTCTTTCTCATCTTTAGCTAATGTTGAAGATGACACAGAAAATATTTTGTTAGATGTTTCCGATAATGATAATGCTTCATTAATCCTCGATGAAATGACATGCAAAAAAATTATTCTTTGCTTAGAGCAAATAAAATTTAACGATTGTTAAGAATTCTAAAAGTCGTATTGCTAATTGTTGGAAACGATTTGGCTTTCCTGCTGCTATTGATCAAAATGGTGTTGTTAAGAAATTTGACAAATTCGTTCCATGTCGAACTTGTTTCATTACATATTCATTTAAATCAAAATAGTACAAGTCAAATGAACAAGCATAATTGTGATAATGAATTATCTTCGTCTTCATCTTCATCTTCATCTATAAATTCTCAAAATAATACTCAGTCTTTAAAACAATGTAAAATTATTTATTTTACTTCGAGCGTTGCCCAACCAACTAAACTTAAAGAAAAGAAAAGAAAACAAATAACATTAAGAATTTACTGGTGAGTGAGTATGTGCCAATATTCAACCTTTTTCGATGGTTAATGATAATAGATTACGGTGCATTATTCAAGAATGTATTTCACTTAATATTTCCTTATTACACAAATATTTCTTTATTTTTTTTTTCTATCCTATTACAGATTCTAAATATGGCAATATTTCGGTTGATGATGTGTTATATAGTGGTCATACTATTTTTTATCATGTGTCAAATATAGCTGATGAATATCGAATAAAAATTTGACAAGAATTAGTTGAATCACTTGAAAATTAAGCAATAACGATATGTCTAGATTTATGATCAGATTCTTATCGGCAAGTTTTATATTTTATTTCATTTGTCTTGTGATATCATGAAATAAAATTGTAATTATAAAAAGTGACTATAAAAAATTGTTTACTAAAGGACATTTAACAGGCGGGGCGGGGAGGAACATAGTGGGGACGGCGTGGGGGCGGAATACATATTAAGTTAATAGCCGGTGGCGGAGCGACTTTCTAGCTGCTCCGTCCATCTCTGAATTAAATATGCGCCAAAATATAAAAAATGAATTTCTCAAGTACTCTTTGCACTGAGATCAAATCCGAATATCCAAATTGCTAAGCTTTGCTACATGTCTGGGTATTTTTCTCTACAAAAAAAAATAAACATGCTATTGTTCTTGATATTTGTACGTATTAAAATCAGAATTTTTGTTCAATATTTGATTGAAATGTTTGTTCAGGAATTGTCGTACTTCAGCTACACCAGGTAGATTTCTCGATTCATGTAAACGTAAATAATTTTCATCAGCAATAGATTCTTTGTTATAACACAAACAAATTAAATCCTTGGGTATATTTAATCGTTTATTAATAGCTTCATCTAATTCATTTTGAATTAATGAATCAGGTATTGTATCAATACCAGTAATAATAATAACAAATTTTGCTGATTTATTTAAACCATATTTCAACTGTTCTCGATCTAAAACAAAGATTTTCTAAGAATAAATTTACATTTCTGAAAGTAATCCTAAACTCATCCATGACTATGTATCATTTTTGAACTTAAAATTTCGGATCGAATCTTATCAATACTTTTTTTATCAGAACAAATTTCTATTGAACATACCCTGTTCATATATGAACTCATTCGCGAGCTTCGGTTGTACAGTAGCAAGTCCTTCAGCTACTTGATTATTTGTATCTGAAGATGATACGATTGTTGATGTTGTTTGTAATTCTCTAATTAATTCTGCAGCCGATTTATAATCCGTACCGGCTCTTACAACAATAACGTAGAATGTACTAAATACAGCATAATTTTGATTTAAATGTGCTATCGTTTTGACAGGATCTGTCACACCCGGATAATCGATTAGATGAACTTTATTACTACTTTTATTGTCATATACTGTATAAATTTGCATTTGTTGTGTACGATTATCAAGATAATCACCACGTTGTGTTGGTATGTTCCATAATGATTTTAATAGACTTGATTTACCAGCACGATGTGCACCTATGAATGATATATATTGTGCTGTCATTGATCGTCGTAATTTACAAATACAATAGATATCATATAAAAATTCAAAAGCTTTTATTTGTGAATCCATTGTTGCACCATACAATGTTGGCCGATTTCCATTAGTAATTTCGTTTGCATCGAATAAATGTGTGTCTTTGATAATTTTCTCTATTGTTTTACGGTCTTTCATATCAATATCATCAAAATTAATTGATTTATCTTCCAATATATTACATATTTGTATTTCTAACATGTTTTCATTAGCACAATTATCTGAATTACTTCCCATGCTATTTAATAAAAATGCTAAACGCTCATGATAGACAAGTCTATCCAATGAATTGTGACTAACTTTGGCTAAATAGGTATACGAACCTAATGTTCCCAAGCCAGTTATACCTGATTGAAGAGCACCAAACTCTGCCAATGTAGCATGTAATGCTGTACCCGAGAATAAAGGATAACCAAGTAAACTAAAAAGTCCAACATGAAATAGAACATAGGTACCAGCTAAAGCACCAGCTGTAGCAATAAGATATCGTCCGGGACTTTTTTTTGCTCGTTGTATAAATGATTCCGTATAGGCATACTCAGGCATTTCTGTTAAACCTTTATATAAATCATTTAATAAACTAGACATATCATTATATAATTTTCCATCAATTGATATTGGTTTATTAACTTTTTTCATTTGTTGACAGGCATTAAAATGTTTTTCAGCAAGAGTTTTAAATTGTTGAAATTTACTAGGTAAACGATTAGCAAATAATTTTGCAAAATACCATGAACTATCTTTTGTAGTCGGTAAAAATAAACAATCTTTCGTATGTAAACATTCAAAAAATGATCGTAGAAATGCAGCCATTAAAAAATTCGTATCGAATTTTTGAAATGTAAATGTTGCTTCTTGTCCAATATCATCATCATGAAGTTCTAACATGAGGTTAATTTTACCAAAATGTGTAGCTAATTGATATTTTCGTGGACCAATTGTAACACGTTTTTCAACTGGTAGTAAACTGTCATTCATTAGAACAAGTTTATTTCGTGACATTTCCGATATTGTCATGATTGAATTCGGTTGGAAGAAATTTTCAGATGTAATCAGACACATTTTTTCATGAGATGATACAAAATCTAAATGATCACCAGTGATTATTACTTTAATATCAGTATGAGAACAAATAGCTGTTGCTTTTTGTATATATAGATCGAAACATGTAAATTCAGTTACACGTTGATTTGTTCTTCTTGATGTTGATAATTGAGAATTAATAAATTCGCAAGATTTTAATGATGAAATATATTTTTCCATAAAATGATTAATAATGTTTGTATTTGTTATTGTGGCCGTTGATGGACCAAATGATTCGATTAATTTTTTCGATATAACATCAATAAATTTTTCTGCATTAGTTTCACGATCTATTTTCATACAGTTACTTTTAAAAGTAATTATCCAATCATAAAGATCTTGATTATTAGAGTCATCGAATGACATCAATGAACGAATAAAACCATACTGACCTATTGGTTTGTAGTCTGTAATTTTATTATTTAGAAGTTGTTTTAATTTTGGTACTAATGAATTTAATGTACGAATAGGTAATGTGAGTACTTCGGATGATACACCAGTAACAGATGAAATCAATGGTAAAAGCGTTGTAACAATTTCTGAACATTGTTGAGCAAAAGGTACTGCTGTTGATTGAACTCGTGAACCAGTTTCAACAAGATTTAATAGATTCGGTACAATATCGCTTTGATTGATTATTGTTAAAAAATTATTATTAAAATTTTTCCGAATTAGATCTTCAGCAACAGTACGATCACCAATAAATGGTGAACCAAATGCTATACTGTAAAGTTTTGGATTTTCTTTATAACTTTTATTAGCTAAATTAAATATCGTACATAAATGGGCAACACTACCACCCAATGAATGTCCAGTAAATATTAAACGTTTAGGATAATTGCGATTATTATTAAATTCATTCATTAATGTCGCATATGGAAGTTCTGATGCACGTTTTGAAAAGCCTCGGTGAACCATACCAGATGATGTTAACGTAGGATTTATAGTTAAATCGGTTAAGATATCATTCATATTTGTTGTACCACGAAATGCAACCCATAAAGTTTCTTCATCATCGTCTTTTCTGGATATAGCAAATAGATATGGTGTAGATGCTTCTGCTGCAAATTTTAATCCACATCCATTGGGAGTTAATGTTGAAAAACAACTATATGATGTATAATGTTCATTTATATGTTTAATCGGATCTGAATAATAAACAGCATCGGATAATATAGCGGCCATTTCAATATCTAATTTAGAAAAATGACATTGTTCTTGAATTGATGTTGGCTGAACAGCTATACGTTTGCCTGAATATAATTCGTATTTACTATTAAGTTTACATAGAAAATAGCCTTCATCATTCAACGAAATAACAACAAGATCGTCGTCATCATCGCCGGTACCAAGCGGTAGTCCATGTAATTTTGCATTTGGATATTCTGACAGGAGTGTTTCTGGACCATTACATTCAATCTTAAATATATCGACAAGTTTTTGAAGCGATATTCTACATTCATTCTTGCTTAGAGAACTTGTTGAATCAGATTGATCGAAGCCAAAAGTTAAATCTTTCACTTGTTGTTTATAGGTTATAAATAATGTCATTTTTTCAAGCAAGAAAAATGAAATATTCTGAAATATAGAATAAATAGTATAATGTCGTTTCATATGAATTCCCACTCGATAGGATTTTTCTTTGTAAATGTAGTCACTATGTAAGTGAGGGACAGGCACAGATATTAACACAACTCGTCTACGTCTATAATGAAATTTCTTAGAATGTGCACGCATGAATCCGTATAAAATGAACATTTCAAGATACATCTTTGGTCTTATTTCTCTTTGATGAAATAGTGCTGGAAGAAATGCTTTTTTTTTCCAACTCTTTACTCTTTCGAATCGTACACAACTGAAGAGTAGCACTCTTAAAAAGAATCTATCCTTTCTCTGAGACTATGAGAAATCGTTGATCCTTATATCTCTTCAATGAATAGGTTCTGAAACGAATATTTTCATAGGAATACACATTCGCAAATCAAATGAGATGAGAAAAGAAAAAGAGAAACAATTGTGTAACAAATTTATAATTCTTTCGAAAAAAATTTTGTTAGATGGCACGGAGAGAATAATAAGACCAATGTTATATGCATAAATAGGAAGAATAAATGCTTGTATATTGTGACTCTCATTAGAAAATGAAGATAATAAGATTAAGTTCGAATACGACATACTTTTTACTTGAGTTTAGTTGCATACGAAACGCTATGGATAAGATAAGACATAAAAGGAATGAAAATAAAACACTCTTCAGAGAGAAGTTGTATGCGTCAGTCAATGTTATTAGCATCATTTTTTATATTGCACCATCCGACATTTAAAATCTAAAATTACAATGCTGCTAAAATGTCTCAAGCAAATTCTCTATTTTCAATAATGAACTTTTCATCGTCGTACAAAATGATAACTTCGTATGCTTTTTTTTATCAATCCTTTTAGTTGTATATTTTCGATACAAAAGTAAAGAAGGCAAATAAAAACTCAGATATGGTTGATAAGTATAATATTACTGCGACATGCAATGAGAAAAATTCTGAAGGAAAAGAAACAGGGCATTGTTCGAATGCATCGTAGATTTAACACCATGACATACCCTGTTTAGTTTTGGTGCTTGTCCGTGTATATTTTTGTAATGATTTTTAGCTTAGAAGAAGTGTTATTATCGATGGTGCTATCTTTTATTCAACTTTTTCATATATTTACTCGCCTCATTCTCACAAAGAACACTCGTACGTATATGCAAGCAAGAGAGAAAGAGACAAAAGGAAGAAATAGTAGGGAGAAAGAGAAAGATATGAACAGAAGAATGAGGATAAAAGAAGTGATAATTACTGAAAAAGAAACGCGTATCGTTGCCGTAACACTAGATCATGAACTAATAGTAATTTCAAATACACGAAGAGAAAATGTATGTTGATCGGAAAGGTTGAAAGAATGTTAAACGTTACATATGAACACTCGATTACGTCATGAAAGAGTAGTACATAATTCAACGTAAAAAACTGAGTAGAAATTGTCACAATTTCATCTTATCTATTCACATACTCATTTTAATCTACAATATAAGTTGAGGAGATTATCAAAACTCCTCTGTTATGTGCTTCAAAATTACTGTCAATGTATTGGCTGAAATTCTAAAATGCTTTTAAATTTCACATAGAACGAAATGAGTAATTTTGTCATTTCCAAGGATGCTCTGGTGAAATGTAGTAATTATCTAGCCAGATACTTATGCAATTTTCAAATCGTCTTGGTTAAGACTTACTTTTTTAAAAGATGATTGGAAATTTAATCTATTAAATTGCTGATGACATTTTTACAAATGTTGTCAGACAAATATTTTGTTTCAGCATACACAGAAAAAAAGCTGCTTTTTTGTAATAATAGATGGAAAGAAAAATATGACGCTTATCGTCAAGAGGAAAAAACCAAATGAAGAACGGCAAAAGATGTGTCATAGTATTTAAATAAGAGAACAGAATAAAAGCACAAAATCATTCGTGAAACCCCTGCTGAAGCTAAAGTATGGCTGCTATATATCTAAAAAAACTCAGGAGATAATTTACTATAAATACTGTATGTAAAATTCAGTGAAATTTTAAATTTACTGAAAGAATATCATTTAAATTAATATGCTTTCGTATTACGTATGGATGCAAAATCAATACCAAAAGCCATATTGATTAATCACGATTAACAAGAATCATCGGAACAAAACCACATTTTTCATTTAGGTAGTTAAGTGACATTAAGCTTTTCGTCGAGTTACAATAAAGAAATGAATCATCATGTAACAAGTTTTGCTACAGAATTTAACTTTAGTATTGTAGAATATAAAGTTTAGTAATATTTTTATGGTAATTTAAAAGTTATTGCATTTTATTTTTGAAACACTAGAAAGATGACTCGATGAATTCTTTTCTCAACATTTTGATGAATCATGATGTATGCATGTTCTCTAATTTTTATTTTGTAGAGTCATACATGACACAACAATAAGTATTTCTATGGATGCACAAGGATAACAAATAGTTGATAAAATATATCTATTACACATCTACACTTTCTATAAAACGAATCATGTCCATTCAAAAGATCTATTCACTACAAACATTGCCCATTGAGTTGATTCATCGAATTTTCGATCAGCTCGATATACAAACAATTATTTTTTCAATTCGCTCTGCATGTAAATTATTTTATTCTATTACTAATACTTATAATCGCTATGCATTGGTCTTTCGTTATATGTCGAAATCTGATCTATTACTTATAGCACGTATTATTGATCCTAAAAATGTTATTTCACTGACACTGTCAGATGAAAATGAAACACATAGTGAAATTCAATTCTTTTTTTCTCACTTTCATATTGACCAATTTATTCGACTACGTTCATTGACGCTTTTTTATATAGAATATGAAGATTTAGAAAAATTTCAAAAACATATTATGAAATATCCCTTAAAAAAATTCTCTATTTCATCAAACGTACTTGGTAGCAACAACATTGCAACCTCATTATCAGCTATTCTATCGTACCACGATTTTCAGAAATTTGAATTTGATGGAAGCGAAAACATTCTTAATGAAATACAATGGCCCGTATCATGTGGATTAGAACACGTCACAATAGCTCAATGGTACAGTTGGAGTACGGTTTATTTTGTTCTTTCTCATTTGCCTTTCTTACGAACATTAGTTTTGAAAGATGATTCTGCTGGAATTTCATTTAAAGAGACTATTGTTACGCAATATGATATCAAACAGTTATGTCATTTATCTTCGCTCTCATTAAACAGTCGTTACAATATAACAACAAATAATATGCGATCACTTCTTGTACATCTACGTATGCTAACACATCTTCGACTGATTGGTCAACAACCTTTAACTGATTCTCTATTATTTGACGGTTTTCAATGGGAAAATATAATTGAAACGAAATTACCTTCATTAAATAAGTTCGAATTCTGGTTTAGTAAACATTTATATCACTATGAAGATGTTACTGCTGTAGAATCAATAATGACATCATTTCAAACATCATTTTGGCTTGAAACTAAGTGTTGGTTCGTTAAATGTGACTATGTAGAAAATAAATATTGTCGACAGTTGTATCTCTATTCGACACCAATCTACCGATATAGTTTTGATTATCTTGACGGAGAAAATACTATTCTGTATTCTACAACGAACAATATTAATAACAATGCTACCATCATTGTCAATACACAAAGATTATCCTTAGATTTAAACAAACTCATGACTAAAGATATTCAACAAAATGTAAGTTTCATTGTTTTCTGGTGGGTGTGGGTGTAAAAGAAAAAAAGATGAGAATTTTTCACTTTGAATAGTTCGATAGTGTATAGAAAAATGGAAAATGTGCAAAAGCATTCGAAAGAACTTTCCTTTTATTTAACCACATCATGTTTTACAAGGTTTGCTGCAATGAAGAAAATTAGATTTTCAAATAACTATAAGAATCTAATTAATTAGTTACATGGATCTTTCTATCTCGAATAAAAAATCCATTTATTATTCAATGAATAATTATAAATTCGTGCATTTTCATTACAAAGTAATGTACACAAGTGTATTGTATATATTCAATATCGCTGTGAAGATTATTTCTCTGTGAAATATTCTATAAAGGTAACTTGAGCATAATGTTCAAGACACGTACTCACAGATTTTAAATTATCTTCTTGATTTTATAAGAAACCAATTTGTATTTCTCTCTAATTTCTTTAAACATTCTATCAGTTTTGTTTTTAGACTAATCGAAAAATGCAGTATCTATTTCAAAATGTGAGAGAACTTACATTGATGATTGGTCATCAATGGTCGATGGGATCAATTGAATATCTCTCAAGAATTCTTAATCTATCAAATCTTGAAATAATATGCTTGCATTGTCAACATGGATCTAAGGTTGATACTCATGGTTTAGATGCCGAAATGGATACTTTATTCAAACATACATCGAATCTTCGTTCATTTCAAATGAATTGCAATAATTTTGAGAGAATGGCATCGATATCTCTGAATGGTATCTGTTTAAAATTACCTAGTTTTATCAAACATCTTTCTACTGATATTATGCATATGAGTGATGCAAAAATGATATTAGAACGAGTCGAACATTTATCAAGTGTCACATTTTATAGACATGATCCATATGATTTCGCTAATGAGATCATTATATGGCTCAGACAACATGAAAGAGATTCAGTATGTAAAGTAGGTAGGTACTTTTGCTTCAACTCTTACAACGATGAGCTTAGCTTTCCAGTATATTTATGGCTTAACAATATTACGCATAAGCAATCAAACACATCAGTTAGCCATAAACGTGTTAAGCGAATGCATCACAATCACTACGCATGATCCCGTATATTCACTGACATACTAATCAACTGATTGTATACAAAGCATTATCAAATAGAATTCACAATATTTATGATTAAAGTTATTTTTCTTTAATAAAAAAAATGTTCATATAATCGATCTGTAATGAGGATGTAGGTTTGATAATGAATGAAGTTCTATTGTGTTTTCAAATGTTTATAACAAAAAAGAAAATCATTAAAATAAAAATCATCGACAATGAATCAATCAATAACTTTTTATTATTAGGTTCACCAATCCTCATCGAACTGAACATTTCACATTTATGTCACAATGGAAAATTTTTTTTTTTGATTCTGATTATCATTAAAAAAAAAACCTGCTCAATGTACGTTTGGGAGATAGACCAAAACGAATGTCAAAAACTTCAACACGAGTTCGATTCGATTCAGAACAGAATGGATGCATATTCGATTCAAATTGCTGTCAAATAAAAGATGCTATAAATTTTTGCATACTATCAAATTTTGACTCTGTGATCTCCTGATTAGTAATCAGCGGAGTCACATTCTTTGATTCGGAAATTTAGTTTTATTATATTTCAGTTTCCAATCCGAAATTCTTTTTGTAGCTTAGCGATTTCTTATTCATATCAAATGTTTGATACTCTAAAAGGATAAACAAGTAAACAAATCAATAAGAAATGTACAGAATATAGTCGTGAGATTAATTTCTGTCTTTTCCTGAAACCACAAATATAATGGTCAGCAAAAGTGAACCAGACATATGAACTAAAGTCAATGGAACCAATTCATATGGAAGTTGTGAATCAATCAAATAAAAGATCGATGTTATCTAACTCTTCAAACGATATTTTTCTCTTCCGTTTGGCTCGAATAACAAATAAGATGACAGCCGTACAACAATAAGAATAAAACTAATAAAATATATCAGTATTCCTTAATATTTTTTCGCATGTCACTCTAAGCAGTTTTCGAAAAAATGTTTACAACAAGTACTGGAGTGAACAACTTGTCAACTAAAGTGAATGAAAACTTTTCTACATATGATCAACCAAAATTAATTAAGATCATAAATCAAAAGAAATTTTTAACACATTCGACCCGATTCAGTTTTCTTAAAAAATTTTTTCGAGATGTTTATTTTCATGGGGATGTTACTTCTAATAAATGTACTTAATGACCTTTTCGTTATCTTCTACTGAT